AACATACTTTTCCTGTTTAAGGCATGTAAAACTACTGCCTCCTAAAATAATCACGTTCCCTCTGAGAAACAATAATTCTGTTCAAAACAAATGGGACTGCTTTCCATGTTCACTTTCCTACCCCCACACCTCATTGTTTAAGTTGCAGCTGTTAATTAGCTTTTCATTTTTGTTGTTTTTCCAGCATGAATTCAGTCACAACGCTGACGCACTGCTGCTGCCAAACCAAACAACATCAAGCATAAACACTGGCACAGAAAATCCATCGAACCCTGCACACGCACTGGACAGTGGCACCAGTGCTGCCTTACCCTTTACATCGGTATTGGAAAAAGTTCGTCCTTCAGCACAGACATTTGAACAGGCATCACATGAGCTAAACCACTCAATACTCCAAATAATATTTGAAAATGGGGAGGGCATCCAGTGCTCCTCTTTCCCTCCAGATAATGCAACGGTTTCCAATCTGCATGAACTCCCTGCGACTTGCTGCAGGTTCAGCTGTTCACAGCACAGCAAGTTTGCCAAATTACAACTTCTGCGATATTTGTCAATGTTAGTAACTTCAGCAGTTGCCACAAATATTTCGATTACAACCCCTGCAACCAGGATCTCCCAAGCCATATTCCATAACAATTCATTCAGCCTGTCATTAACTGTCCTCTTTCCTAAGTATATGCTTGACTGTTCTTGTTCAAACCCTGGTAAACATGTGGTACATGAACACTAAAATATGACAAGCAAAGGGGAATAAGTGCCATGTTGTTCAATTTTACCTACACATACAAAGAGCTAACCAAAAGCAAAGTTTAATCTCACAGCTACAAATCTCAACAGCAAATGCCAGAATATAGTCAAATTCAACAGGTCCAGATAGCTTTAGTTGTAAATAGCTGCAAAAGAATGCTCTACTTTATTTTGATGAAATAAACCACGAATTCACAGAAGTCTCAGCTACTTCATCAGCTGAGCTGTATTAAAAAGTGAATATATATATATATACACACATTTAAAATGTACTATTGCAATATCTCAAACAGCTGTGACAAATGTCCGTTTTGGCAAGCTTAAAACGATTCTTTTCTGCACATACCTAAAACACTGCACAGTTTATATTTCAGATGTGGTTTTGTTACTAATTATTTTTATGCAGATGTTTTAGGAACAACCACAGATTTCACAAAACTTTCATTAATATCTTCATTGTCAACTGAGGTATCAAATCCCTGCAATCAAAACCCTTAGTTTGAGGTATCAAACTAAACAATTCCATGTGCCTGATCAGTTCAGGCACTATTCTGCATTAGGGCAGCTGTGTGGGTTTTGGGCAAAGCTGTTATCAAGCCAGTCTGTAATACAGACACAGTGGGAGACTGCAGACACAATGAGATCAATTTTTGTATCTTTATTCATAAAAAAAGACACAACTAGATCCAGAAACTTGACTTTTACCAAACATGACTGGTTGTTTATCCATATACGTAGCTGCTGATCAAGACTGTTGGCAATTTTAGATTAACTTGCAGATCTCTAAACTTTTTGCACAACTGAAGTAAATCTAAATTGAGATGCTGCATCAACCCTAGCACAAAAGAAGAATTTCCAATGCAAGTATTTCATCAGCCTAGCCTTGAACGTGTACAAAGACTAATACAATACATTTCAATGTTAAGAACATGTTTCTACTTGGAAGTTTATTTCAGAAAGCTATTTTAGCAATTATAGCACCCGGATCATTTAGAAATGCCTGCAATTGGAAATCTACCAAAACAGCTTTCACATTAGCTACCAAGTCTGGAAGCACACAGCTGAATCCAGCTATTTTTCAAAGCAAAGTAATTACGAAGGCTGGGATAAACCTAGAATGACACACTAATATTCAACAAGATCAAAACTGACTCCTAAGGAGACACATTCATGGAAGGTCACTCTCTCTCAAAGCAAACAGAGTGCACAAGAATCTTGTGAAATCCTCTTTGTAAGAGAAACTGAAAGAAGAGCAACCAAGCAGAGGACACAAACAGAAAATGAACGCACAGGGAACAAACAAAAGCAGCACAAACAACTTGTGCTCTCATGATTGGGAGCGCAGAGGTGCCAGCCCGCGGGGCCGTCACCTCTCACACAGTTCTGGCAGCTGCAGGGAGAGCTGCAAGCCTGGCAGGAATCACGTACGCGGAGCATGGCACAGGAACAGAACTCAGGAGTAGAGGGAGCAATGGAGAATCGCTGCTTTAAATCTTGCTTCCACTTTCGCTTCACAGGTAATTTTAAGCACCTGTTATAACCTGGAATTAGTTTAGATATCCAAACTGTCTTTTACAGTGGTTTAGTTAACTAAGCTACTCACAGAAGTTTAACAGAAATTATATTAAGAACTTCTACCACTTGCTGCACTGCAACTTGGATATGCCCACAATGGCTTTTCATACAACTCCTAGTATTCTTCAGTAATAAAAAATGCTAAGCTTTACGTTAATACGCATTACCATCCACAGTACTTGAGGAGTCTCTTCAGCCATCAAGAAATATCTCTCTTTCAAGAGAAAAAGTTTCTCTCCTCCTATTAACAGGATTTTCCCAAGTGATCAACTTAGATGCTAATTTGAACTAATTTGAGTAAAGAGAAGGCATAAAGCAGAAGCACCACGTTGCTACTATGGATATTCTTATCAGAATGGAAGTCATCGTTTTTTCCCCCAAATAAATTTGGATTACAGTAATTCCACATCCATTTCTCACATGAAATGTCTACACACACAGAGAACAACAAAATCACAGACTCCAGTGAGAGGTGCAATCTGCAGGTTCCTTTGGGCTTACTTTTCTCCAAAAGCTGGCTCAACATCTTAGCCATGATTCTCTAACACAGGCCCCACATTTGCACATGTGAACAAAGATACAATTTCTTGGCCCAAACCATTCAGTAGCTTTTATAAGCTCACCTCAAAACAGAAGCCTCCTTTCCATCATGCGTTCGGGCTAAGTAAACACAGTTTTACTCTGTTGGACCTTCTGCCCTATGGCATGAGCAAATTCATTTGCAGGTGATTCAGAGAGAGAATTAACAGACTTCCCTGATAAAACTGCATACTCTTGAGACCTTCCCTATGTAGTCTGGTAAAACTCCCACATCAGCACCTTAAGGTATGTCTCCAACTTAGCTCTCCTCCAGACTGAGGTCTAGAAAGAACTAAAAATTACCCAAGGCAAGCAATTGCCTGGGTCCACACGAGTACGCACATCATTTCACATGAGTTTGATTAAGCTGGTGTAACCTTCCTCCCCAAAGTTTTCCAGGTAAACACATACACTAAAAACAGAGCAAGTGGAAAAGCTAAGAAGCACACAAGGCTCATCAGGAGCAAGTTGATAAGATTAGCAGCCTTATATCACCTTAGTCTCACTAAACCCATAAACACCTGAATATGCTCCAGGGTGATCCCAGCCTAACCTGTAGATATTTTTTCTTTCGAGGTTTAAAACAGCAGAAGTCTTACGACCTGACACAACTTCAGATCTTAAGACTGACAGAAGAATACATTTAGCTAAATATACAGCATAAAGACACATAAGACTCAACAGATGCATCCAATCTCAACAGACCAGAGCACAGCCAAAGAATAGGACTGGTGATACTGTAATATACAGTTCTTACTACTGTGTTTACTTCAAATACCATAAATCAGGCTTTCTTTCCTTACTGGAACTTTTCAAACCATACAGCAATATAGACACTATATGGGAAGGGGGGGGGGGGGAGAATTAAAAGGCCATAAAAGAGGGCCAAAACCAAGACATCCAAACAACAAGTTAAAAAAATAAAAAGTCTCAGGGACAACTTAGAATGGTAGAGACACCCCTACCAAAAAGCAGAGTTTTACCAGAACACCCCCATCTTTAAATTAAGGACTGAAAACTCTACAACTTACAAGTCTCAAGAATAACAACAGACTGTTCTGTTTACTACCCCAAGTTCCACATCGACAGTGGTGAAATAACTTACTTGGCACCAGGCCTGAAACAAAGGCCGTGTGAGCTCCAGGATACCATCCCTGGCAGCAGGGAGAGGCAGGGAAGCGCAGCAGCAGAGGAATGAGGGGAAGTGAGAACAGGCTCACGTGAGCAGGCAGAGCACAGCGAGGGCTGGCACGGGCACCAGGCAGCCTCTAATTTTAACTTATGCTCCGGCAAAGTGATCTTTTTTGAGGGGGGAGTAGGGGGAAGGAAGAGCAGAGGGGAAAGCCCGGTCTCAGGTCTCATTAAAACACAGTGGCAACAACAGTCCCAGCGCAGCCTCCCTCTCTGCACTCGCTCTTTCACACTAACACCCTGGCCCCTCTGAGTGCAACTGTTTGCCCTTTTATCATTTATCATTCCTTTTACCTATTGTGTCTCCTGGGACCTTTAGCATACGAGCAGAAGGCAGGAACAGGGCATTAAGTTACGTGGTGTTATGCCTTGGCCTACCTTGCCAGCAAGACCCATAGGATAACAAAAATCTAGAGCAGACGTTGTGTCCAAGGGCAGAAACCAGCGAATAAAATATTTATAGGAAAAAAAAATAATAGAGGCATGAAAAATTGATTATCATCTAGTTGAAACAGTCATTTTTCTTCCAGCAATGCAAGTCATGCCCATGTCCCAGCTCGGCGCTCCGGGACAGCAAACACAGCTTATTCATCAGCAAAGCGTCCTGAAAGCGCGTGAATTTTCCACCAGCACGGCGGAGGTTTAGCAAAACGGATCCGCGCGCACGGCAGGACACACATACGGACACGTAAACACGCACACACGTTTCCGAGCAGGCTCAGCGGCGCAGGCGCCCGGCCGCGGGCGCTGCTCGCGCGTGTCCCCGCGCGCCGCGTTCCCCCTCCCGCAGCGGCCCCGCCGCGCCGCGCTCCCCGCGGGCCGAGCCGAGGCCTAGCGCGGCCGCCGGCCCCGCGGCGCCCCGGCGAGCAGCAGCAGCAGGAGGCGGCGGCGCGGGGGGAGCCACTCACCGAAGTCGAGGAACTGCTTGATGGAGAGCGGCGAGGGGGAGAAGCGCGAGTAGTACTCGATCTGCTTGGGCACGGCGCTCTTGAGCAGCGCCCCGCAGAGCCGCATGGCGCCCGGCCCCGCTCCGCTCGCTCCCGGCGCGGCCCGGG